GATCTCCTTCTATTCAGGAGATTGGTATTGGAGATGTTGAAATACAGGGGGAGGTTGTTAGAAAGGATACTGTCATTCTGGAGAACCCTCAGGGAAGCTTTGAATGTGGTACTCAAGGAGTTGGCAATGCTAATAATGCTGATATCAGATTGGAGGGAATACAACAAGAGAACAGTCCAGGAGTAACTATTGCTTCTGAATCTAGAAATCAAATTCCCATAAATACAGTCACTGTGGGGGCTACATTGGAGGTAAATTCCTTTTCCTCCCCTATTCCATTAACTCCTATTAATGAGGAGATCAATGTTGGAGTTCCTGTAATTGATGTTGTTAATAATGACAATATGGTGGTTCATGAAAATATGGAGGTTTTGGGAGAATGTAGGAATTTTTATGCTCCATCAATGGATTCATCTTTCCTTTTGGAACATGGATTTGTTGTTAGAAAAGGAAGCCAAAATCTTTAGATGACCAGTCTGGTTTGGTAAGGATGAAAGAACCTCCAGATAAGGGTTATTTTTCAGATCAGGCTAGCTCTAGACCTCAGAGAATTGTAAATGTTGAATCTGATAATTCTGGGAGTTCTGTTGAAGAAGAGGATGAGGGTAATGGACTTAGTTCCAGTAAAGTTCCATCTTCTATGAATTTATGATTAATCTCCTATCATGGAATATGAGAGGGGCAGGTAAGGAGGCCAAGAGGAGGAGATTAAAGAAGCTTATTAAATTGCATGATGTTTGTTTGGTTGCAGTTCAAGAGCCTAAATTACTGATCTCTAAATTGGTTCCTTTTGCTAGGAGTATTGGTCTAGAGCACTTCTGTTCTAATGCCCTTGCAGAAAGGAAAATTTGGATTTTATGGGATGAGAGAATCAAGTTGAGAATCTTATTTGAACATGATCAAGTATTGACTGTGGAAATAACTTTTCTGAATTCAATTATTTTTTGGATCTCAATTGTATATGCTAGTTGTGATCCTTTTGTAAGAAGGCTATTATGGGATCATTTGTTGGGAATTGATGTTCCCTCTGATGTCCCTTGGATGGTGGTTGGTGATTTCAATTCAATCCTCTCTTCTGATGAAAGATTGGGGGGAGCCCCTCCTTCTCTGCTGTCTATAGAGGATTTTGGTGATTTTGTAAATCATAGGGGTTTGCTGGATGCTGGTTTTGTGGGTAATAAATTTACCTGGTGTGATAACAGGAATGGGGGCATCAGAATGAAGCAGAGGTTGGACAGAGCTCTGATTAATGCTTGCTGGAATTTGAAATTTGATAGTATGGAAGTGACTCATTTAGCAAGGGGCTCCTCTGATCATAGCCCTTTATTGATGAAAATCATGGATGCTCCTGTACAGAAAAGAATTTCTTATTTTAGATTTCAAGACATGTGGTGTGATCATGAGGGATTTCTTGATCTGATTAAAGCAAATTGGGGAGGGCACTATTCAGAGAATCCAATGTCAAATTTGTTCATCAAGATGAAATATTTGAAGGCTCATATGAAGATGTGGAATAAAAATGTGTTTGGAAATCTCTTTGACAAATTGAGAAATCTGGAGCAAAAAATAAGTTTGTTGGAACAGGAGGTAGATCAGAGTTTTTCTGATTCACAAGACATAGAGTTAAAAGCTGCTAAGAATGAGATGGATGATTGGCTAAGAAGAGAAGAAACTTATTGGAAGCAAAAGTCAAATATAAAATGGGCTGTACAGGGGGAAAGGAATACCAGATTTTACCATTCTATTGCTAAAAGTAGAATGGTTAGAAATAAAGTCTCAAGAATCAAGAATAAAGAAGGGGTCTGGGTATGTGGGGATAAGCAAGTGGCTGAGGTAGCTGAGGAATTTTCTGTTGATCTTTACAAGTCTGAAAGGCATATCATCAATGAACAAATTTTTGTTGATGTTATTCCTAAGCTCATCAGTCAAGAGGATAATGAGAGGCTCACAACTGAAGCCACTTTGGAGGAATTGAAAGATGTGGTCTTCTCAATGGCAGTTGAAAGTGCCCCTGGGCCTGATGGTATGTCTGGTATGTTTTTTCGATTTGCCTGGGATATTATTAAAATAGATGTGGGCAGAGCTGTTAACTTTTTGCTAGCAGGAGGTGCAATGCCTAAATCTGTGAATTCCACTTTGTTAGTATTGATTCCTAAGAAGGAAAATCCATGTTCATTTGCTGATTTCAGACCTATAAGCTTATGTAATTTCTTATATAAGATCTTTACAAAGCTTCTGAATACTAGACTTTCTTCCCTTCTTCCTGCTTTAATTTCTGAAGAACAACATGGCTTTGTACAAGGTAGAGGCATTGGAAATTGTGTGGCCTTGGGACAGTTGCTTGTTGGAGAATTAGACAGAAAGGTGGATGGTGGGAATATGGTTATGAAGTTGGATATGATGAAAGCATATGACAGGATGGAATGGGATTTTTTGTTGAGGGTACTGGCTGGCTTTGGCTTTTCTGATTTGTTCAATCAAATTATTTTGAATTGTTTGAGTAGCCAATTCTTTACCATTTGTTTAAATGGCCAAAGATATGGTTATTTTGCTAATTCAAGGGGGTTAAGACAGGGAGATCCTCTCTCCCCCTCCTTATTCATCCTGGCTGAGGAAGTGCTGAGTAGAGGGCTAAGAAGAATTTATCACCAGAATTTGGTGAAACATTTCCATATTGGGAGAGGAACAACAATTGTTAGCCATTTGTTATTTGCTGATGATACTCTGATTTTTCTAAGAGGTAATAAATCCTCTGTGGTGAATGTCTTGCAATTTATTGAGTTGTATGAATCATGCTCTGGACAGAAGGTTAACAAAATGAAAAGTGCTGTCTATTGCTCCAAGCTGATCTCTTTAGCTAGAAGAAATAGGCTAGCTGCTGTGATGGGGATTCCTTTGAAGAATTGTCCTTTTACCTATTTGGGATGTCCTATTATCAGAGGTAGAGTTAAGAAATGTTACTTTGAAGAGGTGGTGAACAGCTTTAGAAGAAGACTTGAGGGTTGGTATGCCAGACTTCTCTCTGGAATGGGAAGAGTGGTATTGGTACAGTCAGTACTCAGCTCAATTCCCATTCATATTTTGGCTTGTTTGAATATTCCAAAAGGTATTTTAAGTAAGCTGAACTCTCTTATTGCTGATTTTATTTGGTCTAATCAAATTGGATCCAGGAGGAGACATTGGGTGTCACTTAATGATATTTCTAAGCCCAGAATAGAAGGTGGCTTGGGGATTAGAAGTTTTGATGAAGTCCAAATGGCATTCAGAATTAAACAAGTATGGGGCATTCTAAAGGGTTCTTCTTTGTGGGCCAAAGTCTTTCAAGAGAAGTTTTTTCAAGGAAAGCATATGCTAAGATGTAGCAGTAGTGGTGCAGGTTTATCATTTAATGTCTTGAAGCCTTGGTTCAATTTCACAGTACAGAACTCCTTCAAAATTGTTAGAAATGGTCATAACACTGATTTTTGGTGTGATTCTTGGATGGAAACTGGCCCCTTGATTCTTAGAATGGAGAATATTCCATTAATATTTCCCAAGATACATGAATTATGGAATGGGATAACATGGCAGCTTAATGAGGTTGCTGAATGGCTTAATCCTCAGTTATGCTCTGAAATTGAAGGGGTGGCTTTTGTGAGATCTGAGGAATCTGATAATCTTGTTTGGAAGCATACTACTTCAGGTGAATTTTCTGTAAAATCTGCTTGGAAGCAGATTAGGAAAGTGGGGAACCAAAATGCTGTTGCTAAAGGCATATGGAAACAGAAAATTTTTCCTAGTGCTCAACTTTGCACTTGGAAAATTTTTAAAAAGCTTTGACCTCTGATGATAGAATTCAAGATGTGGGAGTGGCAATGGCTAGTAAATGTGTCATGTGTGGTGTGGCTGGGGAAAGTGCAGCTCATGTTTTTATTGATTGCTCTTTAGCTCAAGCTGTTTGGATTAAAATTGCTACAATTATGGATTTTGATGTTTTTCCAGGGGAGGCTCCTTTATGCAGATTCTTGAGATTGTTGAGAAGGTTTAAGGCTGCTTCTCTCAGTCACCATCTAATAAGAGGGGTAACTATGTTAATTTTTTGGGCTTTGTGGAAGGAGAGATGTAGAAGGAAATATGAGGGAGTATTTTTAAATGCCACTGCTATCTTCCATCAAATAGTGAGTTCTTTAAGATGGCAGGTTTTTCTTATCAGACCTAGATCAAATGATGATGGTAAGGGAAGGATTTGTTGAGAGATTTGTGTATTAAAAGTCCTTTTTCCTTAATCACCAAGGTTAAATGGATTAAATGGGAACTTCCTCCTGTAAATGTGCTAAAGCTTAATGTTGATGGTGCTTCTAAGGGTAAGACTGGTTTGTCAGGTGGTGGGATTGTATTGAGAGATCATGAAGGCAAAGTAATTGTTGCTGCTTCCTGTTTTTATGGTATTGGTTCCAATATGCTAGCTGAATGTATGGCATTATTTGATGGTTTACTTCTGATTATGCAATATAGTTTGACAACAGTTCAGATTATGGTGGAGACTGATTCCTGTACTTTATTTCAAATGGTGAGAGGATTAGCTGCTGTTCCATGGAAGATGAAATATCTGTTAGAAAGGATTAAGTTGTTGTTTAATTTTCTGAATTTGCAAATCAAGCACATATATAGGGAAGCTAATGGCTTGGCTGACTTCTTAGCTTCCTTTGCTGTTAAATCAGAACAGTATACTGAATTTTCTGCAAACAATATTCTGCCATCTATGGGAGGATTATAATGCAACAAGATTTATATGGATTTCCCTCTGCCAGATTAAAGAGATTGATATGTGATCAAAGAGAAGGTATTGGTTAAGGTTCTGTGTATACAGTAAGAAATGCCTAGAAGCTGTAAATTGCAGTAACTCTAGGAAAACATTCTAAAGGGATTCTATTTTGGTTCTTCTGCTGATTGGATCTGTGTTGACTCTAGCAATCCCCTGAGATGATTTATTAGAATCAAGAGCAGTTCTTCAGTTTCTGATGGCTGCTCCTTTTCCAATCTGCCTGGACTATCTTCTGGACTTCTTTTGTGAGCTTTGGAGTGTGGAGGATCAGGTTTTCTGATGACATCCTGTTCCCTTTTGCGTTTCATCCTGAAATGCTTAAGGATTCTGTTTCAGTGCAGTTTTATAGGTGATTTCTGATGCTTGGTCTACTCTGCATCTGGCCATTTCAGAAAACGGATTAGTGCATGTCTGAGAGATGTATCTGGACTAGCTGTGAAGGGTCTTGATAGCCTTATCTGATTGCTTGGAATTCTGAACATTGCTGCAGACTATTTTAGGGGATTATCATTTTGGACAGACTATTGGGCTTCCCTGTTTCTCCCTGGACTACATTTGCTGCGGTGGTGTTAAGACATCTACTCCGGATTGTTTCAGCTGGATGGAAAGAAGACATTACAAAGGGATTAATTTTTGAATTACCATTTTACCCTTGTATTGTTTTAGCTTCTATATGTTCATAAGTCACTGTTTTTTAGCTTAAAATAGTGACTTATTTGCTTCTTGTAATTTCTGCTTTTATTCAATAAAATTTTTCTTTCCTTAAAAAAAAAAAAAAAAAAAAAAAAGGGTTTAGGGTTTAGGGTTTTAGGGCTTAGGGTTTAGGGTTTAGGGTTTAGGGTTTTAGGGCTTAGGGCTTAGGGTTTAGGGTTTAGGGTTTAGGGTTTAGGGTTTAGGGGGTTTAGGGTTTCGGGTTTGGGTTTTGGGTTTCGGGTTTCGGGTTTCGAGTTTCGGGTTTAGGGTTTAGGGTTTCGGGTTTCGGGTTTCGGGTTTCGGGTTTCGGGTTTCGGGTTTCGGGTTTCGGGTTTCGGGTTTCGGGTTTAGGGTTCCAACAATCCCTAGCACTTCGGAATTTAATTCCTTAACAATTGTAGATCCTTTGGGAGGGAATAATACCATCTCTATGCCTCTTATTTCTCAAGTGAATCAAGCTAAGCCGACTGTTCGTCTGGCCTCTGTTCGTCCTGCGAATGTATCGACTGTTGCAAATGATCAGAGTTCTTCATCTGGGTTAGGATATCATGTTCCTATTGAATCTGTTATTGATCGAAACACACAGAGAGTGCGTATGAATCCTCAACCTTCTCTAATCCCCCAATCCATTCCTTTGGAAATTCATGAATCTTCGATGGATCGAAATCTGAATAAATCTCAAATCCCTGCTTCTGATAAAGATACTCAGATTCCAATAGTCATTTCGAATTCTCAAATTCCTTCAGGTAGTCAAAATCCTGCGTCTAATATTGTTTTTGGTTCCTTAAATTTGGTGAATCCTCCTAAAACTGCAAAGAGGGTAGTCTTTAACAAAGGGGAGCCTGGGATGTATTGGTCCCCCAATGAAACCTTGGAACTTTCTAAAGGTTTTTGTCAAACTCTTATTGGCAAATGTGCCTATGGTAAACCTTCTTTGGTGTGGTGAAAGAATTTATCAAGTCTCGATGGCTTCTGAAAGGGGATTTCTCTGTAGGTGTGTTAGATCAGAGGCATGTACTGATCAGATTTTCTCTCTATGAGGACTATGTTAAAGTGTGGCTGAAGGATACAACATACATTGAGGGTTATCTCTTCAGGTTTTTAAATGGTTTCCAGAGTTTTATTCTGGGATTGAGCCACCTATTGTACCTGTATGGGTATCCTTACCTGGTCTTCCAATCCATTTATTTAACAGAGAAAGTCTGAGAGATATTTTAAGTCCAATAGGCAGAATTCTGGTGATAGATAATGCTACCCTTAGCCTTTCTAGACCTGGGGTAGCCAGGGCCTGTGTTGAAATGAATCTTCTAATCAACAATCCTAAGAGATTTTGGTTAGATATGGGAGGTGTTAGTGGCAGATGGCAGAAGATAGTGTATGAAAAAGAGTACAGGTACTGTCCTGCTTGTCTTAAGCAGGGGCATGATGAAGTGCAGTGTAGAAGGAAGAAGAAAGTGGAAGATGATATTTCTGATAAGAAGCAGGAGGCAGGGAATAATATTCCTCAGGATGAGGAGTGGAAGAAGAAAAAAGGTAAAGCTATGGCTACAGATGGTCTGAGAGGACAGTCTAGAAAGGAATATAGACAGAAATCTAACCCTCAAACTACTGCTGTGGGGAATAGTTTTTCTGTTTTAAATGAGAATACTGTTATAGAAGAGCAAGATATTGGGAAGGAAATGAATCTAAATGGACAGGAAATAATACCAGACAAGGTCACTAATAATGAAGGATCTCCTTCTATTCAGGAGATTGGTATTGGAGATGTTGAAATACAGGGGGAGGTTGTTAGAAAGGATACTGTCATTCTGGAGAACCCTCAGGGAAGCTTTGAATGTGGTACTCAAGGAGTTGGCAATGCTAATAATGCTGATATCAGATTGGAGGGAATACAACAAGAGAACAGTCCAGGAGTAACTATTGCTTCTGAATCTAGAAATCAAATTCCCATAAATACAGTCACTGTGGGGGCTACTTTGGAGGTAAATTCCTTTTCCTCCCTATTCCATTAACTCCTATTAATGAGGAGATCAATGTTGGAGTTCCTGTAATTGATGTTGTTAATAATGATAATATGGTGGTTCATGAAAATATGGAGGTTTTGGGAGAATGTAGAAATTTTTATGCTCCATCAATGGATTCATCTTTCCTTTTGGAACATGGATTTGTTGTTAGAAAAGGAAGCCAAAACTCTTTAGATGACCAGTCTGGTTTGGTAAGGATGAAAGAACCTCCAGATAAGGGTTATTTTTCAGATCAGGCTAGCTCTAGACCTCAGAGAATTGTAAATGTTGAATCTGATAATTCTGGGAGTTCTGTTGAAGAAGAGGATGAGGGTAATGGACTTAGTTCCAGTAAAGTTCCATCTTCTATGAATTTATGATTAATCTCCTATCATGGAATATGAGAGGGGCAGGTAAGGAGGCCAAGAGGAGGAGATTAAAGAAGCTTATTAAATTGCATGATGTTTGTTTGGTTGCAGTTCAAGAGCCTAAATTACTGATCTCTAAATTGGTTCCTTTTGCTAGGAGTATTGGTCTAGAGCACTTCTGTTCTAATGCCCTTGCAGAAAGGAAAATTTGGATTTTATGGGATGAGAGAATCAAGTTGAGAATCTTATTTGAACATGATCAAGTATTGACTGTGGAAATAACTTTTCTGAATTCAATTATTTTTTGGATCTCAATTGTATATGCTAGTTGTGATCCTTTTGTAAGAAGGCTATTATGGGATCATTGTTGGGAATTGATGTTCCCTCTGATGTCCCTTGGATGGTGGTTGGTGATTTCAATTCAATCCTCTCTTCTGATGAAAGATTGGGGGAGCCCCTCCTTCTCTGCTGTCTATAGAGGATTTTGGTGATTTTGTAAATCATAGGGGT